CAAAGCCGGGGACTCCCGCAGTGCCTCCAGCGACACCATCGAGCTCTGAGGCGGGCAGCCTCCGGCCAAGGCTGCCAGGACAGCTGGGCTCTACACGGTGGCCCACTACAGCCCCGAAAATAGCCAGGCGGGAACCCGCACTCCAGCTTTTCTTTTTTAAATATCTCTATTTTTTTCAGCAGGAATTTTGCTCAGAGGCTGGGTCTTACACGGAACACAGGGTGGAGGGCATGGATTTGGGCACGGGGAACAGGGACCACAAGACTTCCCGGTATGGAGAGGAGCCTGCTCCTCCGGACTGTCCTCTTTGTGCCAAAGAAATAAACCCATAAGGTTTGGCTCCTGCCTCCCTCCCATGGTTGGGAGACCCAGCCCTCAGGATTCCAGGCCTGTGTGTGGGGAGGGACGCCTGGCAGAGGAAAGTGCTCCAGGCTTTGGTGGTAACCCTACCAGTGTTTCCCAGACCACCTCCCCTTTAGTTCTCACACACTGGAGCAGAGAGTATCCCCTCGCCCATGTTGGGAGTCATGGTGGAGGTCATCTGCCCAGGGTCCTCCTGCAAATAAGAAGTGGGCCTCACTGCAAACTTCCACTCCTGAACTGTCCTCCTGTGCCCCTTCGAACACTGCTTCAGGGACCATCTTCCCTCCTCAGGCAGCCATCATTTTCCCAAAGTGGTAGTGATGGGGCAGGGGTGAGGGGTAGTAAGACAGAAGCTTCTCCATTTTCTAAGATCTTTATTTCCTGAGATGAATAAATAATGGCTGAGGGAATGAGGTGAATACAGATTGGAAGCTGACAGCATGCAGCTGGCAGGAGAGGGCGGTGGTGGCCCTGACCCTGCAGGGACCCCTCTCGTCCTGGGAAGGGGCCAAGGCTCACACAAAGCCATCAAAAGGAGAAACATCGCTCTCAAAATTCACACACTGTGTGACCTAGCCAGTCACCCCAGGCAAAGATCTGGTTTCATCCAGCTTCTAGGCTATTTTGTCACCCTGCCCTGGGGCCACGCACACCCAGGCCTGGGTGCCGGGCTGCACTGTAAGGCGTGCAGGGCATGTCACCCTACTCAAAAGCAAACCAAGTAGCCCTCAACTGTCCATAGGAGGTACCAACCTCAGGGTGGCCTGGGTAGGAGATCCCATGCATGGCAACAGAGATTATCTGCCCTTGATGAATCCCTCCAGCACGCGGTCACTGCGCTCCGATAACCAGTAGCCAGTCATGGCCGCCACCGCCCCGATGAAGATGGCGGTGAACACCAGGTCGCCCTTGGCAGCAAGCGTGGCCAGCGCACAGATGATGACCCCGAAGAACATCTGCTGCAGCACCACCAGCTCGTCATCTGTCATCTCCGAGAAGAAGCCCGCCGACTCTGTGAGGGGGAGGCCAGGGCTGTTACTCCCAGCTCTTCCAATACACCTGACGCCTGCTTGCCGGGTGTACCACGCACACAGCCTACAGAAGGTGAACGGGGCCCAGGGCCACGTAACCTGTGGGCCAGCTTCAAAGCCAGAAGGCCCCAGCATGATTGCCAGCTCTGCCCCTTGCTGCCATGTGACCCTGGGAAGTGCCTTTGTCTCTCTGGCTTAGTTCCACGTACAAAAAACAGGGAGGAGAGACCCTACGGGGCTGGGTGGTTTCAGGGCGCTGAGCAGGTTACAGATGGAATGTGCTTGGAACCGAATGTGACGGTAAGAGCCGTGGATGTGGTCTCTGCTCATCACCGTGGCTCCCTTCGTCTCACCACCCAGGGCCTACAAAGGCTCTCAGGGACCAGAACAAGGAAAGAGAGGAGGCAACAACAGGCCTAGGAGGCACAGCAGTCTCTTTCTTAAGAGTGAGGCTGCCAACAGCCGAGATGGAGAGCAGACCCGGGATCTGGGCCTCAGCAACCTCCTGGTGGCTGGGTGGCTGTCACTGCTGCCGCCACCTGGAGAAGGGGCTTGGCCACCCTCCCCTGGATGGACACAGAACCAGCCTTGCCAACCCCCTCACCCGGGATCTGCTCCTTCACGCAGACGCCCTCCACCTGCTTGTAGCCCTGGGTGCAGATGCAGCGGTAGCCACCCTCGGTGTTCTCACACTTCTCATTCTCTCCTGGACACACCGCCGTCTCACACTCATCCACATCTGAGAGGGGCAGGACCGGGTCTGAGTCAGCACTCCAACTCTCTCTGCACCCTGCCCGGCTCCACCTTTCACCCTTCATCCCCTGCCCTCACCTCTCAGCCCACAGGCACAGACTCACCTAGACACTTGGAGCCCACCTGCTGGTAGCCAGGGCTGCACTTCCTGCAGCGGCCTGGCCCTGCCCCCATACAGCCCAGACAGGCCTTGGCGCAGTCTAGGGAACAGGAGAGACGAGCTGGAGCTGCCCACAGGCCGGGGCAGCTGTGCTCCAGAAAGCAGGACCAGGGCCGCGAAGCTGAGTGCAGCTGCATCCCCCCTGCAGAAACAGGCACTGACCTCGGCACTCATAGGCGCCTTCCGTGTTCACACAGAACTGGTCAGCTCCACAGCTGGCACGCTCCGTGCCACACTCGTCAATGTCTGCAGAGAGGAAGGCAGGGTGGGAGCTAGCAAGGAAGCGGAGGCCAGGAGCTGGCAGGCTGCCAGGGAGAGCAGTCTCCAAGCCGAGCTTGGCCCACAGCATGCAGCAGCAGTTGCTCAGCTTGCAGCTTGGCTTTGACCCCACCTCCTCAAGTTCTGACTCTGCACCAATCGTGTAAACAGTGCCCAAGGGGGGTGACTGTGCAGGAAGACAGAAGGACCCTGGGCCCTGAATGACTATGACAAGCACAGCCCCCACCAGGCTGTGATCTGAGAAAAAATAAACCTCTGTTCTTTAAGCCACTTTCTTTAGGGACACCTCTGTCGCAGCAGTGGATCCTTTACCGTGGTCTACAGAAGTGGAGACAGGGATCCCAACTCCAGACCTCCATCCTGCCCTGTCAGTCTGCGCCGCACGCAGCATCTATCCCGTCCTGTTCCCAGCAGGCTGGGTCTCCGCACGGGTGTGTGTGCTAAGGCAATAAGGTCCAACTCACCCACACACTTGAGGTGATGGAGGGCCCAGCCCTTCTTGCACTGCAAACAGTGTGACTCTTCAGGTCCTGAGCAGCGGGCGCAGGGGCCAAAACAGGCTGCATGGGATGGGGACAGTATAAGGGTGGGTAGTAGGTACCTTTCCGCCCCACCTAGTGCTACGCCTGCTGCTACCTACCCGAACATACCAGATGGCTGGCGTTGCGCTTCGCCTCGAAGTAACCAAGGCCACACTGGCCACAGGCCTCACCCCCGTAGCCGGCCTGGCAGTCACAGTGTCCACTGCCCCCTCGAGTCCCTTCCCCTTGGCACTGCCCATAGCCACCACAGGGTCTCTCCGTGCCCCCCGGACAGGCTGCAGGCAGACACCAATCCAGGTGAGTTTCACATATACAACACTGACAAACGACAGGACATCTACACATTGTTAAATGTATCTGCAGAGGAAAGTTAACTTTAAAGTTCACATAAATCTGAATGCCTGTAATTCCAGAGTTCTGGAAGGCTAAGGTAGGAGGGTCATGAGTTCTCACCCAGCCTGACCAACTTAGCAAAACACTGTTTTGAAACTTTAAAAAAAAAAAAAAAAGGCCTAGAGATGTAGCTCAATGTGAAGGTCCTGGGTTCAATCCCAATACAAAAACCAATCCACCCATCAATCAGTAGCTCATAATGGCTGGGGGATATAGCCCAAGGCATTGGGTTCTATTCCCAGCACTACCAAAACCAAAACAAACAAAACACATTTTGTCACTTAATCAGTATCGTATTGTGGATCCAATTAGGTTGTTCAAAGAGTGCAAGCATAAGAGCGTGTGCGCGCGCGCGCGCGTGTGTGTGTGTGTGTGTGTGTGTGTGTGTGTGTGTGTGTTACTGGGGGTTGAACCCAGGGCCTTAGCAAGCACTTCACTACTGAGCTACACCCTCATCCCCAAACATTTCTTTCATAGACTGAATTGACTTTTTTTTTTTTTTGGTACAGGGGATTCAACTCCAGTCCTTCAGCTTGCGAGGCAGGGGCCAGAACCACTGAGCTAAACCCCCGGCCCAGAGTTGACTATCAAGCAACTAACAGGACAGACTTTTCTAAACTGAGAAGTCCAGCTCCTGTGTCAGGACTGCAGGTAGTGGATGGCGACCATGAGGGCTTCAGGCAGTACCTGCCCCTCTGCAGGAAGTTAATGGCCTGGGAGGCCAGCACCTTCCTGATAGGTGATAATAATCACAGTACTCTGGTCTCAGTCCAGTCCACCCTGTACGGTTTTCAAAGCCTTTCTCCCCTTTCCCGCCCTGGGAGAGCCTGAGAAGTTATCTGAGTGGCCTCAGCTCACGAAGCCAGCCAGGCAGAGCCAGAACTGGACTCCTGGTCTCAGCATCCCTCCCTTCCCTCAAGAGGTACTGGAAAAACTCACGAAGGCAGGAAGGTCCGAAGGTGCCAGCGGGGCAGCAGAGCTTCAAGGAGTCTGAGCAGAGCCACTGGAAAAGGTCTGGGGCTTCCTGCTGCCTGAGGCAGGGGCAGGCCAGGTCAAACGGAGATGCTGCCCTCTACCTCCCACAGAGTCTGTCAGGGGCCCCGCCTGGAATGTAAGTCTCACTGGGCCACCTCACCAATGCCCTCTGCCCATCTGGCGGAGAGGTAACAGGCTAAGATGGGAGCTTAGGTGCCTTAGAAAGTCCTCAGAAGATCTAGGTTTAGAAATCACCTAACTAGGCCCAGGCCCGGTGTGCAACCCCTGCTTCTTTTTTTTTTTGGTACCGGGAATGAAACTCGGGCCCTTGTCTTTCTGAGGCAGGCAGAGGAACCACTGAGCCAAACCCCCGGCCGTAACCCCTGCTTCTTGCCAAGCTGAGACGGACTTCCGGGGAGGCCCCTGCCACTCACTTGTGAAACCACCAGCTCTCCAGCAGCTCCTCACTCAACTCCAGCAGGCGGTGGCACTCGAAGTCTGACTTGCTGCACACGCCTTCCAGTACCTCTACCAGGCGGGTCTCACTGTCAAACGGCAGGGCAGGTGGGAGTGCACCCACCCACGCTGCCTCCCCAAATCTCTCCCCCCTTTCTCAGGCCTGTGACAACAGCACAGAGAAGCCATGGGACAAAAAGAAAGAGGTACTGGTTCTGTGACTCACACACACACCAGAGTTCAAATGTAGCTCTGGAACCTTGGGCAAGTCACTTACACCTCTTGGAAACCCATTTCGTGTCTGTAAAACGGGGACAAATTTGTTGAAAGATACTGCAGTTCCAACTGGGAATGGTGGTGCAGGCCTGTAATTTCAGCACTCAGGAGGCTGAGGCAGGAGGATCACTATGAGTTCAAAGCCAGCCTAGGCTGCACCGTAAGTTCGAGGCCAGCCTGAACTACACAGCAAGATCCTATCTCAAAGGAAAAAGAAGATCCTGCTGTCCCTGCATCTGAACAAGAATACACCTTACTGGGTAGATATGATTACAATTATCTCAAAGGGCCCAGGGCACAGCTTGGCTGTAATGTTTGCCTGACATACATGAGGCCCTGGGTTCAATCCCCAGCACCATCAAACACACACACACACACACACATGTGCACATATATATCATAAAAGAAGTGCTGGCAAGGAGGCAGAAAAACTGGCACCTTATGAACCCTTACATCTACACTGCAGGAGGAATGCAAATGGTGTAAGCACTGTGGAAAACAGCTTCTCAGTAAGTGAAACAAGAAACTATGACTCAGCAGCTCCACTCCTGGGCATATGCCCAAAGAATGGGAATCTTTCCCAAAGAGAAACTTGCACACAGATGTGGAAAGCAGCAGTATTCATGAAGCCAAAAGGGAGAAACAACCCCAATGTCCATCAACTGGCTAATATTTTTTAAAAAGTGGCAGATCCATTCAACAGGGTATTATTTACTCATAACAAGGAATGAAGTAGTTGGGCACAATAATCCCAGCATGGGTCATCAGGAACCTGAGGCAGAAGGGCTGCAAGTTCAAAACCAGCCTGAGCAACTTAGTGAGACCCTATCTCAAAATAAAAAGAACAGGGGCCTAGAGATGTGGTTCAGTAGCAGAACACTCGCCTATTGTGTGCCAAGGCCTGGGCACAATCCGCAGTACTGCAAAAACAAAACAAAAGAAAACTATATAGTGAGACTATCTCAATAGACAAAACACCTTCCAAGGGCTTTCCATCACACTGAGAACAAATTGTAACTCCTCGTTGGAGCCCTCACACCCCAGACACACTTGACTCACTACTCCAGCCACTCCAGAGGTCCACCAAGCTCCATTCAACCCTTTCCCACCACAACCTTGCTTGTGGCAGCGCCTCAGGTAGCTGTTCAAATGGCACAGCCCGCACACCCTGCCTCCTGCCGCGCTGCAGTCTTTCTTACTTCATTGTTCTTCACCGACATAACATTATTTACGAATTCACTGGCCATCTCTGCTACGCATGGGCACCACATTTTGCTTTGTTTGCTGATGTACTACCGATGTCCAGGGATAGCTGCTGAGTAAGTGCTCCCCACGGGGCCCAGCCCCCCTCCCCCCACTGGTTAGAAGCCCAATAGCGGCATATACACCTCTCTACTTTTCCTTACCTGTCTTTGTATTTGGATAATTTCTCTTCCTCCCAAGCAGTGTTTCCACCTCCAAAGTTGTCCCGGATGGTTCTCTCCAGGCCCTGAGCATGGAGTAAATTAGCAATAGCTGGGTACAGAGCCTGGCACACTAGCACCTCGCTATGCTACTGACTAGGAAACTGGGGCACAGACCGGCAACCAGCCCACATCTTCACAGCCTGTGAGCAGCCCAGCTCATGCACACCGCTCCTACCAGAGCTCCCGACTCCTCAGCCGGGCCCCGCCCTCCAGGCGTCGATGAACCCACCTTGTTGAAGCTGTCCACCAGCGCCCGGCACGTATGGCAAGGATGGGGCTCTGGTGGGGGAGGAGAATGGGGCGGTGGAGAGGGCTGGAGCCACACAGGGCCTGGGAGGCTGAGAAAGAGGTTCAGGACCCAGAGCAGAGCTGAAACCAGGACCCTCGGGGACTGTGGGGCCATCTTTTCCCAGGCTGGGGACCTGCAGATAAAGAGTGCGTGGGCAGGGCTCACTGGAGGAGCCTGGCTCCGGTTAAGAAAGGGGAGACCCGGCCCGCGTAATTACCAATAAAGGAGAAAAGCGGGGCGGGAGGTGGGGAAAGGGTGGGTCCGCAATTCCAAAAAGAAGTTATCTCCGTTACCGTGGGGGCGGCGGCCTGGATACTTGGCAAAGGGGAAGGAGTCAATCCATTGTTTTAGAGTCTCGATAAATTATCAGGAGCTAGATCAGCAGGATTTGGGAGAGGGGATAAGACTCCAAATATTAGGCGAGAAGAGACCGGATGGGCGTTCTTGGGGGAGGAGTCTGGAAACCCGGCCTAGGAGAAGCACGGATCCGGTTGTGAAAAGAAGGGGTCAGGTTCCGAGCCTCACAAGCAACGAAGGTACGGCCCAGGAGCCAGCAGGGGAAGATCCAGACCCGCTGAGACCGCGGCAAGGGAAAACGGGCCCGCCTCAGCCCCCGGGCGCCTTCTGCTGTCTCCTCGGCGCCGCGGCCGCCACCGCTTGCGCAAAACGTACAACCGCCCACAACACCGCAGCCTTGGGGCGGGACCTACCTCCCAGCCAATGGGAGCGGGCCATGTGCCAGGGCGTCACCCCACACCACCCAGTCAGAGGCAGTGCCGAGCTGCACCTGTCCAGACTTTAAAGGGCCGCGGGAGGGCGGAGACTCTGCTGCTCAGCGCCGCAGGGGCCACAAGCAGAGACGCAAGTAGAAAGCCAGTAGTGCTTTTATTCCAGCCTTGCCCCCGCCTCCGGGCCCACCCCGAGCAGTTGGGGCAGGAAGCAGCTGTCCAGGACTGGCTGAAGGGCGCGGGCCACCTGCTCCGCGCTGTCTCCCAGGCTCCCGGGGCTTGCGGCG